ATTGTATAAATATCTGTTCAGCAGGTTTTCATCATGCTTAATAGCTAGTGACAATGATTAATACTGAATAATTTTTAACATCGCACCACTTCCTCATTTCTCATCATAAAAGATTATGAAAGAGATAAAGTTACTTATAGCACCTTTCTTATCGTATCTCCTAAAATTGAAACTAATATTAGCAACATGCTTAACAGTACTAATATTTATGAAGATCTTAAAGAGAAGCCCGTTCCTACGTTAAAGCAAATTAGGTATTTTTTGAACAGAAAATTAAAAAAATCAATGCTGAAAAATCTGCTAATAATTGGAAGCAAGTTCATGCAATGATGAAATCTAATCAATTAGTACAAATAGAAAAGGAAATACAGGCAACAGAAAGATAAAGAAATCAGTGACCAACTTGGACATCAGTCTAGTGCTTGACAAAATCAAGTAAAAACTCGATTGTCAAGTTTTTGATTAAGTTAAAATCTCAAATCAGTGATTTATTTTCAGTAACATCTAATGAATTTCTGGTAATTTGTATATAACAAATAATTTATATATATACGTACATATATATGTAATATGATACATATCAAATTTATAACACTTATCGTTATATTGAGTATCACGTTCTATTTTTTGCCTTTATATTTTATAATCACTTATATATTAAAACTCTTAAGGCCAACAACTTTTAATATTATTATATCGAATAATTTTTTGTTATCTAGCAGGTATAACGTATACACTGACAGAACCATATTATTGCTCAAATAAACTCTCTTTTACTAATAGTACTGATAATTCGAATGATGGATATATAAATGACAAAGCGATTGTTATAAATTACCAACTGATGAAAACATTTCAGAACTTCTTAAAATTTCACGAGTTTACAATACTGATAAATGTATAGCAAAATGGTTACGAGTAGTTAACAGATATAGAGAAGTATCCAATTATGAAAAATCTTTTGAAAGTATATCTGAAATCATCGAACTCAAAAATTTCATTTGCAAATTTATCATATAGCTAAAACGAATAGACAGGAATGAATATAACAAATGATCAACCTTCAGATCCTATATTCCAAGATTATCAATTCAACGGTCACCCTTAAAATCTGTCTCTAATCAAGCGACACCATATTATATATCAACTTTTCATGATATTAAACAACTTCATGAATCTTTATCCAATTCTAATAATAAACAGAAAATACATTATCATTTTCATTGTCATTTTTAATATGATTTGTAATATGCGGTTCTTTTTTATATGTAATTTATCTGAGTATAACATTTATAAAATATATCTTATTTGAAATTAAGAATTTTAAAAAAAATATCATTATTACGTATCACATAATTTTAATAATAACTTGTAGCAATAATATGAAATTTTTTCTATCAGTATATACATAGTACCTGCCGAATAAGTAGGAGTAGTTTGGTTTGCTTTTTTAAACTTTTCGTAATCATTATAATCAGTTTACAGAGATTCTCTCAGATTAGTAGCTGGGTTGTAATCATGTTTAACTACTAGTAATTTAACTACTGTTGAAGTGTGTTATACTTTTGATTTACACAGGTATTTGTATGCTCTTTACGTTTACATCGCTCAAAATGACAATCAAACTCCTTTAAAGAATACAAAAAACTTTATATTTTAGAAATGATAACAATCTTTCTCAACTAGTATAGCAAATATCTTAACCTACAAAAAAGCTCAGCCAGTTTCTTTAATAGATCAAACTTTGCCTCAAATTCTGTTGTCTTTTCCTAAATTGCCCTATTTACAACCTTTTCAGCTACCATCTGTTATGCAATATCCTCATGAATATCAGGAAACTTTTTCATCTTATTTAGCTCCTCCATATCAATCTGGAAGTAATTCTTCCATGTCTACTCATTCTTCTTCTCCTGCTCTAAGTACTCCAGTTGCTTCTTCCACAATCCCTTTTTTACTTATAGCAGCCCAAATAGTAACTTGCCTCAACTTGTTAAGAAATTTATTGATCAAAGTGCTCTATCTGAAAAATATGGCCGATGATGGAAAGCTAAATTAAAGATTGAACAAAGTAAAGATGATGAAAGCACCCTAGAAGGCCCGATCAGAATTATGTCTAGCAACTACATTCAAAGATGTGTTTTTGAAGCTTTTAGTATGTTGAAATATAGAGCTATTAGGTTTATTATATTTGGATTATTATTTTTTTTTTTTTGGTGTTAAGGTGGCCTCTTGGCCGGCTCCTTTTATTCGGTTATAGTTAACTTTTACAATAT